TTTGCTGTTATGCAGATGTATTATGAGGAAGCTTTTTGGGAGGGCTAGAATTCGGGTGTCTAGGGATTACAGGATTGGCAGATTTGGAGGCTGGCTGAAGTGCTGGATTCGTTCAAGAATTATTTGTTTCTTTATTTTTTGGATATTGTGTATTTGCTTTATGGATTGTACTGTTCATTTTGCTCCTTGGATGATGGGTTTTTTAAGGGTCTTTCCCCAAGCTGGAGGTTTTATGTTGATAATTGGAAGAGATATAGCTTTGGGGAGAAGATACATTTTTTCCCATCCTTAATAAATTCTTGGAGTTTAGGAGTTTTTGAGGGTTTTAGTGGGGTTCTTTATGTGGGTTAGTTAGAAGTTATTGGGTTAAATTTTGGGTGTATAGGGTGATTAGAAAGTGGTTGAAAAGTTGGATTTGGATTGGTTGGAACTTTGTTAGGTTGTTCTTATTATTCCTGTAATCCAGTTTGTACCTTTTTGTATTCTTTTATTTTTTCTGAATAAAGTTTGCTAAGACTTTGTCTCTCTAAAAAAAAAAAACTATGGTCTTGGAGAGCGTGCCTTTATAAATGAAAAAGTATCCTCACATTTGAATTGATTTAGGGGTGTTTGAGATTGCTTTTCAAAACAACTTATTGGCTTATTGACTTTTTGAAAAGCTAATAAGTCAAAAAAAAATGTTTGACAAACTCAAAAACACTTTTCAGAATAGCTTTTCCATAAGCTTCAAAAAACACTTTTTAATAAGCATGTAAAACTTGGTTTTTTTAAACTGTTTTTGGCTTTTTAATTAAAATAACTTCAAAAAGCACTTTTTAAGGCAAACACTTTTTAACTTATTTACTTATTGACTTTTTCACCATAAAAGCTAATCCAAACACTTTTTTTTAAAACTCATTTTACCACCATTATAAGCTAAGACTAAAGGGTGTCGTGCGGATATCACTGCCGGTAGTCCGACGTGGACCTCTTTACCGGCGGTGAACACCGCCCCTCTCCTCCTTTTACACCGCCAGTGAAGTGCCGGTGGTAAGATACCACCGATGGTGAAAATTTTAAAAAATGGACGTTGTACACTTTTTGCCCGTTTTTTTGTGACCGTTTGCTGCATTTATTATATATATATATATATATATATATATATATATATATATATATATATATATATATATATATATATATATATAAACATAAACCAAAACATATTCACTCAAACCTATATTATTTTAAAAAATCATCATATAAAAACGGAAAATCCATTAGAAAATTGTAAGTTGTTGCTGACCGTTGGTCAGAATTTTATGAAATCATGGGAAGTGATTATGGATACGGTACAAGAAGAAGAAGAAGAAGAAGAAGAAGAAGAAGAAGAAGAAGAAGAGGAAATCCAACCTAGTACGCGGAAGATGCTCCAAAACTCTTTGTATGATATGGATGTTTACGTCAATTTGGATGATATGGATGTTTAGAAACAGTGTTGTGTTTCAAAACACCAAGATGAGAGGAGCTCAATTTTCGATAGTATTGTTTTACATTCTTACGATTGGTTTTCTAATAGAAGTAGCCATAGTAGTATAACTTGGACTTTGTGGTTACAAAACCCAATGCTCAAAAACTCTTTGTAATTGTTTTCCTAGCTCCTTGCTAGTTGGTTTTCGTTAATTTATTCAGCTGTTCAAAAAAAAAGTACGCGGAAGATGCTTCTCAGATATCGTTGGGATGCAAACACCCGTCTAATGGCACACTATTTCGATGAAAATTCTGTTTACGATGAATACCGGTTTTGACGTCGATTCTGAATGGAAAAACATTTATTTCTTCATATAGTTGGTGACGTTACTAACATTTCTGAATATATTAGACAACGCCGAGATGTAAGAGGTGCAGATAGGTTTTCAAAAATACAAAAATGCGCACTTGCGGTTCGTCAATTAGCTTACGGTTCTGTTTCTGATTCATGGGACAAATATTTTCAAATATTTGAGCGTGTAGCTAGGGACAATTTAGATGAGTTTTGCAGATGCGTTGTCACTATTTACGGTTCAAGGTATTTGCGTAAACGCACTTTTACTGATGTTCAATCATTATATGCTCATCATGCTAGTATTCATGGCTTTCCTGGTATGCTTGGAAGTTTGGATTGTCTTTATTGGGCTTGGGGTAATTGTCCTAATGCATGGCAAGGGCAATTTACACGGGGTGATAAGGGTCACCCGACAATCATACTTGAAGCTGTTGCGTCACAGGATCTTTGGATTTGGCATGCTTTTTTTTGTGCTCCCGGCTCAAACAACGATATTAATGTTTTAGACATGTCGCCCATATTCAATGGTTTTTGTGATGGGTTCGCACCTAACTGTCCATTTCAAGTGAATGGAACGACGTACGATTATGGGTATTATCTTGCTGAAGGTATTTACCCTGAATTTGTTGTGTTTGTGAAAACGCTAGTATGTCCGTGTGATCCCAAACGCATAAAGTATAAAACGTACCAAGAAAATGTTAGGAAGGATGTGGAACGAGCATTTGGAGTCCTCAAGAAGCGTTGGCGCATACTACAACATCCGACTTGTCCTCGAAGTGTGGACAAGCTCGCTTGTATTATGTATGCATGTTTCATTTTACATAATATGATTTTGGAAGACGAGCTCAAAATAATTTGTTAGTTTCAACCAAATGACAACACATCCTCAAGTGCATCCTCTAGTGCGCCAATACCGCCTGGTTCCATCCCATGACGTGCAAGAAGAAGGGCGATACGTATCATCAAAAACACCACGAGCTTCGCAACGATTTGGCGGAACACATATATCGGGTTAATGAAATTGATTTAAATCAACCAATTGTCAATTATATTGGTGAATATTCAGACTGAAATATTTTATTAAGTTAGTTAATTTAATTTTCGTTTTATGATTGTTAAATCAAATGTAATGTTTTCAATTTATGAAATGTTTATATTATTTTAATTAGTATTTATTTTTATGTTTATGTAATTATTTAGATTTTTGAATTAAAAAAAAATTAATTGGTAGGTAAAAACATCACCATACCCTACCTCCTAGGTAAAAAAATGTAAAAACTGCAAAAGCTTAGGTGGTGCTTACGTAACACCTTTTACCATTCGTAAAAATTATAAAACACCCCTTAGCTTAATAAACATTTTTATCTAAAAACACTTTTAGAGTTCAAAAAACACTCTTAAACACCCCTTTAATTTATTGGGAAAATGTTTTTCATTCTTAAACGCTTTATATATTTGCATGTTAGGTTATGCGTATATATCTTGATATATTTTCGACTACATAATCAATAGAAACATTATTACCAAGCCTCATATGATTTCGATTTTGATTTTTTTGGCTTGGTTTAGATGGTGCAAATTTGTTAGTTTATTTAGTTTTTTTAACTTTTTAAAGTGAAATGCACAATTTATCTTAATCTATAATATTTGTTAATATACGGTATTTGTTATTTGTTATGCATAAATAAAAGTATATAATAATCATCTATTTAGATTTAGAAATTTTCATTCAGTAAAATAAATAAATTATATTGATAAAACATTTTATCCAAACAAAAAAATTATAAAATCGTTAACTGGATTTCTATATTTTAATATAAACATATCCCAAAAATTATAAATTACGCTTAATCAATATGTATTTTTCGACCGATTAAAAACAAGTTGATTTTGTATGGAAATTCACCACACCTTGTCGTAGTCAAGTACATGCCACATAGAAAACACCACGTACGTGGTGCATGAGTTGTCGTTTCCATTCCCCTGTTGCCCGTCTTCATCAATTATCCATCTTCTGTTGTCATGTTTAAAAATTAACAAAATTACAAAAACAGTCCATATAGTATATTAGATTTACAAGTTTAGTCTAACTCTTTATGTTTTTTGTAAGGACAATCCTCATACTTTTAGTTTATTATGAGTTTGCTGCTTATAATTAATATTAAAAACCATTAGAAATATACTACTACAAAATAGGTTAAAGAACCCGGTTAAAAGCCTAAAAGAACCCGGTTTTCAACCGGGTTTTTAGTGGGGCGAGTCCTATGTACAATAATGAATAAAACCCGGTTTAACAACCGGGTCTTATTAATACTATAATATATCCCGGTTCCTGTGATAAAAAACCGGGCCCTTTCATGGGTTTTCCTTCCAATCTAGTATACCCACGTTAGATTATTATGTTAAATCTTGCTTGTTTACATAGTTGTTTGTAATATGTACAACCAGGTCTTTTAACTTTTTTTATTTTTTATTTTTCTAAATCTATAGACTCAATTCCTTTCACCCACGCAATGTTTGCTGCAAATCAATCCATAATGTGAATTTATTCTTTTTAAAAACTTGTAAAATGGATCTTTTATTTAAAAAAAAACAACAAATAATTTAAAAAATTTAATCTTTTTTCTGCACAAAATGCAAAAGAAAAAATTAAAAAAATCGAATACATCTATAATAATATGAATCTGAAAAATAAATCTACTATAATTCAAATCCATTACATTTATATATTCCAAAACAAAAATCTAATACTTTTACCTATCAAAAATAATGTCTCCTACCTTATTTATATACAACCTTATCTTACTAAACAAAATTTGCAACACATGTATTATCACTAGAAAACCAACAACTAGTTGACCTCCATCAATTGCCCAAGATCAGAAATGCTTGATGTTGCCTTCTCACTCTCATTGCCAATTGATTCCAGGGATGAACTTCCATCTTACAAAAGAGCAAAAAACTCTGGAGAATAACCATAAGCAACTAATAAGAAATAACAAATTAGCTAAAAATTTAAGAAATGAATTGAATGCCTACCTCATGTAGGGTCAATGCTTTTCAAGAAGCTAACTACAAACGAAAAGCCCTTTTATTTAACCTTAAATGTACGTTTTAGTTTGCATAATAGATGTAAAAAGAAAATAAAAATTCAATAAATCCATATTAAGTTACTAACAATGTAACACAACAAAGACTATCTGAATAACCCTAGCTTGACATGAAAAAAGGTATTGTCTAAATTCAAACTCCATGAGGAATCATCATCAAGAATTTGCGACAGTTTGTTGTTAAGGTTTAGGATTGCAGCTTGATCATCTCCATGGTCTATTCCTCTAAACTCCTTTTGTTTTCCTGCGTTGTTGACTGTATTGGGTACAAGAGAAAAAAAAATTACATGTGTCAAAAAGTCATTAAATACATGGCATCTATATACAACACCTGTTTCCATATAACAAAGCTCTAGTTCATCATATTCTTGCAGTGATTCCTCATTTAGATGAGGCATTTCAAACATGAATGCCAGGCTCTCCCATAAATAGACATAATTATTTCATAATTCATACTAACAATATTTTTGTTATCACATTAACTGAAGAGATTTATGGGTGTACCTTTAGATTGAAAAAATTATAGAAGCTCCAAACATGCATAAAAGGTTTATTGCCAATAAAGTAGACCCGACCACTGTTTGTTCACAAAAACTTGAATGTTAAGTTAAAAGGAAATCAAACTACAATGCAATAATAAACAAGTAACTGAAAGAAATGGTGGTGAACATTACCTGGACAACTGTATTCTCAATATTAATCTCCAACAAACTCTTTAGCAACCCCCCTCTCAACTAATTTGAGCAGCTTCAACAACCAATACAAGGACTCCAAGCAAACCCCAAAAATTAACAAAGCCAATGTCACACCCCCGAACCGTCAGAAATAACGGCGGAAACGTTCGGAGGCGGGTGACGTCATGCGTAGTATCACAACAGTTGTATCATAATAAGCAAAGTAAACACAGCCATTACATTACAATATGATTATTTACATCTGTTTGAAAACATAGTCTGTACATAAGAGTATATAGCAAAAGTAAAAGACGTGACTCCAAATGCTCCGTCTTCTCCCAAAAGTTGATAAAAGTACCTGTCTATAGCTGCCCTGAGAATACAAGCAGTTTGAAAGAGTATCAACATAAAGCTGGTGAGTTCATAAGTATTTAGTTCTGGTGAAAAAATGTTTCCTTGATCCTTTGAAAAGTGTTTCCCAAGAAAAATCCTATATTTTCTTATGAAAGATGTTTGATTATCCGTTGGTTATTTGTTAAACAGTCCGTTTATGAAAGGTTGAGTTATCCCGGGAAAATCCTATATTTTCCCTAAAAGTTGATAGTTGGTTAACTGTTCCTGTCTGAGGTGTACAAGTATCTACCATACTTGTATCGTTAGACGTAGTTTTCTTAAAAAACCGTGCTTATTCTCTGTGAGGTGTATTAGCCTTATTACATAAATAAAACTAATAAATAAGTGGTGAACTAATCCTAAGGGTGTTATTAATACCCTCTAGTAATCGAATTGGTTATTACTTTGAGGTTAGTTCCCTTGATTCATTATTACAAAAGTAAATTCCTGTTATCTGGGTTGTGGGTGTCATAACCGTACTTAAACTTGATATGGCACGTAACGGGGCCAATATCCTTTTATGACTTTGCCACCACAGGCATGTATGCCTAACTGTAGCTAGCAATTTAGGTGCGGGATAGTCGGTCCCGTATAGATCTATACACAACAGTCACGCTCTCCTTACAAGAGATTCTGGTTACAAGTGCTAGTCCTACACTCTCTAATTCGGTGAGGGAGTGTTAAAAGGACGTGTCCCCAACTTTAGACTAACAATTTACAAGTAATAACACTAAAATCCAGTTTATAATCTGTATGATATACATTTTACGAAATGTTTCACGAGTTCATTACTTTAGTTTGAAAACTGTTTTTACGAGTTGATTTCTTAATCGTTTGGTAAAACTGTTTTCTGTGTTAAAAGCATTCTAAACATATAGTTATCTTAAGCAAAATAATATGTTTTGAGCACAAGTTTCCTTGTACTTTTGCTTGTATTCCCCCCTGAAAACATGGAAAACTCGGAAAAAGCGTATGGGTATGAACTCACAGTTCGTAAGATTCGAGCGTAAGGTCAGTGTGGATGCTGAGTGTCAACTGATGTTTCGTACGCAAGTGGATCCTATTAACATATGGTAACACATATATGTATTAGATGAGGACATAACACTATTTGTTATGGAAGGAAACCACCTTAGGGACTAGGAAACACTTGAAACTAAGTGTTAGAATCACACGTGATTGAAAATGGGGAGTTTGCGGTCGTAATCAGGAGTTTACGGTCCATGAGTTTGCGGCCCAAGTGTTTGCGGTCCGTGGGTTTACTGCCCATGGGTTTACGGCCCATGAGTTTACGGCCGTAAACACTTGGTGAGAGGTGGGATTTTTGGTGTTCCAGGGTCCTTTCTAGTCTCTTGGAAATGTTCTAAGCCTTATGCACGGCTCAAAGTAGGGTTTAAAGGCCAATAATCGACCAAAAATGGAGTTTACGGCCATTGAAGGGTGTACGGTCGTAAACCCATTTCGTGTTCATGATTTGGGTCGATTTTTAGGTGATAATCAATGATTTCTAGTAGATAACAAGTATAGGGAGTGGTTACTTACTGTAAGAGGCTTGGAATGAGGTTTTTAGCCACCAAGAACTAGTGTGTGTTCTTGGAGAGAGAGAAAATCTAGAAAAAGATGAAATTTATGAGATGAAACATGGATTCATCACTAGAAAAGGGATTGAAGCACAATAGAAGTGAAGAATCACTTACATTTTGAAGATCCTTGAGCAAAACTCGAAAATTGTAGAGAGAGAGTAGAGAGAGAAAGCTTATGAGATGTGTAAAGTGTGAAATGAAGGCCACTCATCCCTTATATAGGGGTGAGTTTTCGGCCAAGGGGTGGGGTGGGGGTGTACGGCCGTAAACTCGAGTTTGCGGCCGTACACTCCTCTCGAAGGGGTGTTTGGCCCGAATGTTATGCTTTGACTTAGAAAACCTCGTTTTCTGAACCCAAAAATTTGGTTGTACTGAGTTCAAATATTTAATTAGACCCGAGATAATACTGACAAGAGTAGAAATAAATTCCAAATTGATTTATTTTTAACAGTTTGGACGAAAGAAATTTCGGGTTGTCACATCATCCCCCGTTAGAGGGAATTTCGTCCCGAAATTTGAACATAGAATACAAATCATGAATTAGGAAAGAGATGCGGATACTTCTGTTTCATCTGATCTTCGCGCTCCCAAGTGAATTCAGGCCCCCACTTGGCATTCCAGCGGACCTTCACTGTCGGGATGCGACTTTGTTTCGTTCGTTTGATTTCTCTATCCATGATTTCGACCGGTTCTTCCACAAAGTTTAGGTTCTCGTTGATTTCAATCTCATCGAGAGGGACCACAAGGGTTTCGTCGGATAAGCATTTCTTAAGATTCGAAACATGGAAGACAGGATGAATGTTGTTAAGTTCTCGAGGTAGACGAAGTTTGTAGGCTACGGGACCGATCCTAGCGAGGATCTCGAAGGGTCCTATGTATCTTGGATTTAGCTTTCCACGCTTACCAAAGCGTATCATACCTTTCCAGGGTGAGACCTTTAGCAGGACACAGTCTCCAATCTGGAACTCCAAGGGTTTTCGTCGTTTATCGGCGTAGCTCTTTTGTCGGTCTCGTGAAGCTTTCAGTCATTCTCTGATTTGTATGATCTTTTCTGTGGTTTCAGGGATGATTTCTTGACCAGTGAGAGTGCTGTCAAGGACTTGCCCCTTGGCTAACTGCGTGTCCCCACCTCATCCCAGCACAGAGGGGATCTGCACTTGCGGCCATAGAGGGCTTCGAATGACGCAACCTTGATGCTGGTATGGTAACTGTTGTTGTAGGAAAACTCTACCAAGGGCAAATGGGTGTCCCACGACTTATCGAAGTCGATGACACATGCTCTCAACATGTCTTCCAAAGTCTGGATGGTTCTCTCACTCTGCCCATCTGTCTGAGGATGGTAAGCTGTGCTCATATCCAACTTAGTTCCAAGAGCTTTCTGCAGGGACTACCAAAATCTCGAGGTGAACCTGCTATCTCGATCGGAGATAATGGACACTGGCACACCGTGCAGTCGGACTATCTCTTGGATATAGATTCGTGTGAGTCTCTCCATTTTGAAGTTTTCCTTGATCGGCAGGAAGTGGGCGGATTTAGTCAGTCGGTCGACTATTACCCAGATGGTGTCGTACCCACTCGGAGATTTGGGTAATTTGGTGATAAATCCATAGTAATCCTCTCCCACTTCCACTCAGGTATCTCCGGCTGCTGAAGCAACCCTGAGGGCTTCTGATATTCGATCTTCACTTTGGCGCAAGTCAGACACTTGCCCACAAAGGTAGCGATCTCTGCTTTCATGTTTGGCCACCAGTACAGTTTCTTGAGATCGAGGTACATCTTGTCCGAACCTGGATGAACGGAGTATCTAATCTTGTGAGCTTCGTTCATGACAACCTCTCTGTAACCACCGAACTTTGGGGTCCAGATCCGGTCCATGAAATAATAGACTCCGTCTCCCTTGATCTCTAGGTTCTTATCCATTCCTCTCAAGGCTTCATCCGTCATGTTCTCTGGTTTTAGGGCTTCCAGCTGAGCCTCTCTGATTAGTGCGGATAAGTGGGAATGGATAGTCATAGTTAGTGCTTTCGCACTGCGACCTGTGTACTCTTTTCGGCTAAGAGCATCTGCCACCACATTGGCCTTGCCGGGATGGTAGCGTATTTCGCACTCGTAATCGCTGAGTAGCTCAACCCATCGCCATTGTCTCATGTTCAACTCCTTCTGATTGAAAATATGTTGTAGGCTCTTATGGTCAGTGAAGATAGTGCACTTCGTTCCGTAGAGGTAATGTCTCCATATCTTCAATGCGAAGACCACTGCTCCCAATTCCAGGTCGTGCGTTGTGTAGTTGACTTCGTGTGCTTTCAGCTGTCTCGAGGCATAAGCAATAACTTTTCCTCGATGCATGAGCACACAACCTAAGCCCTGATTGGATGCATCACAATAGACCACGAAGTCCTCCGTCCCTTCGTGTCACACCCCTGCCCGAGGCGGCGGAACATGTCGGGCTGTGCGACTAAGTTCATGGATCACAGATAAATTGAATATACAGCACAGGTACAACAATAAACAAAACAACATTTCATTACATAATTATGTTTTCATACAAGGTTCTTACAGATAGTAATAAGATAATAATACGAGTTTGCCTTAACAGTTAGGCATAACAGTTCAAAAGTAGAAAATTAAAGTACTTGCGCCATGTTTTCCATCGTCTGAGTGTGCCCGAAATTTCACTGATTTCCTGAGAATACATGTATTTTGAAAGTCAACACGAGGTTGGTGAGAGTCATAGGTTTTCTGCTAGCCGCAGTAATA